TAACCTCGTTCCCAAGCACTACAACTTACCTATATTATCTTCTACTATTTCATTAGTGCCACGCGGTCCACATACTCTCATCTAGTTAAAATTGATTCAATCTGCCTCGATCTTTTTTTTTCTTTTTCCACGTAACAGTTTCAAGAGTCAGTCATCTTTTCTGACGATTCAGATTCAAGCGARTTGGAGATAATAAATACTTGTCTATATAGATACAACGAGAAAGAATTGAATTGGTAAATAAACTCGGAAAGTTTTCCCACTAAATATTTAATAAGCATCAACAATGATAAAAACTAACGGAAGAAAAAAGAACTCGATCTCTCTGTAGAGCAATTCCTCTTTTTTGAACTGAAGCGAAGGTTGATGAAATGCGATGCGTAACGATCAAGTCAACTATGAATGAGATCTATTTGGAGTTTTTGGATATTGAATTCGAAATATCATATGAACGCGATGTCGGACGCCTAGCTAGTTCAGTCGTTTCCCGGCTTGTCAAAATCTCTTTCTTATGCTAAATATCGTATAAAACAAGTAGAGTTAACTTCTTTGTCTTTTACAATTATCACCTGTTCGCGTTTAAAACAACTGAAGTAAACCAAACTTCGAGAACAATCCCTGCAGCTACCGTCTCATCCATTCAATGACGAAAGCTTTCTTTTTCCCATGCATTTATTCCATTCGCATTTTTCATGCCATTTCATATTTAAAAACCACTTGTTTGAGAGGCGAAATACTATAATGAATATATCCAAGCTGTTCCACTTTTTCACACRTTAAATATAATAATATTCTCAAAAACTGTCATGATAAGTGAYGGTGATCATTAAGTGAATGATAAACTTCCTCGCTGAATAATAAATACTATAGAAACCTGTAGTTTCATCTAAATCACTCAAATAACAGTTTACTCATGTAGAATTTCACTTTGGAGCCAGAAAGAGCGAAGATGAATAAGTATTAATTCTCTGTTTTGGTTGGATTTTCAGCCCACATTTATGCCTCTCGACTTTCATTTTCTCCTTGATAACTTTACTAGATACATAACGATCGTGATTCTTGGGAACAACGCAAACACAATCCTTGAAGCTCGTGTACTCGGGCCCATAAACACCGTTGTTGAAAACAGGGTAGTATACGATAGCAGTTATGAACTTCTTCTCGAGAACTCTGGGATACATTTGGAGTTCATTTATGTAGCGAAGACGAGATTTTTCGAGACAAGTGTATTGATATGAATATAGTGTTCTCGGTTCTTTTATATAGAAGCAAAGACCGTCGGAATACACTCTAGGCATCGCAGATGAACTTTGAGGGATTTCAGCCAAGGATGTCTGGCCAAATCCTAAAGCTTGACCATAGTAGAAATGATTATTCCATTCTTCTCCACACAACTCGAAGGAAATCTCGCTATGATGTGAGCTAGAATGAACCATTCTGACACCAAACTTTAAATGAAGTAGTTCTTACGAAATTTCTGTAAAGTTTCCAATATAATTCTCTAAAAAAATCCTCAAAACTTTGTATGATTCTTATTCAGCACCTTGTTATAATTTCTGAGTATCGAAATATGTCAGTGTTGTGAATTATAAATAATAATCTTTGCAATCTTTTAAGGTTTGCTATAACAACCACCAAGTGACGTAATATGTTAAGTCTAAGATGTCAAGCTGAATAAATGTATAATTTGAATGGTTGGCAGAGCGACTCGCCGTTATTTGAATTGCTAGATGTTGCTGATAGCATCTAGCGTCGGTCTTTGTATACTCCGATTTTATTAGTTTTTTTTTGTGTGTGATATTGTCTAGAGAGTCTAGGAGTCTGGAAAGGTGGAAATATGGGTTGATAGTTTGAGGTTGTGAGCTGTTGTGAAATAAGGTTTTTCCAAGTTTTTCCCTTGAAAAATCAGTAGTGCAACTTAAAAGCTTGAAGGGACATGAAGAACTGATAAAGCAAAAAGGAGACAAGTGAAGAGGAGGAGAACGAGAAGAAGAAGACAACGATGACGAACTRGGAAGAAGAACTGATTATGATAAAGTGAAGAAAAGAAACAAGAAGATTCTTAAAAGAAGCAGAATGGAGGGCAGCATGAAAAGAAACAGTATAACAAGTAAGAAGAAAATACTGAGCGTACTTTGAATCAAAGTCGAACATTTTTTTAAAGGAAGTTCAACTCCAATACAGTTGTAAGTCTGTTACAAGCATTGAAATGGCTTTACAGTGTTTTCACGCGTTTATCCAATCAAAACGCAAAGTTGTTTAATCATGATAAAAAACGACTAAAATAGAGCTATGATACGCTGTATGTTTCCCACGCAAAATATTCTTCTCTTTACTGAAAAATACGCTGTCAGTACGACTACACATTGCATGGCCTTCACATTCGTCAATATGTTATATAGTTCTCTCACAGTTACGTTTCGCCATCTAATGTAGTCGCACATGTTAAATGCACACTGCAAAAACTTGATTATCTTTTTGCGAAGCTTTTTGGAATTCCCAGAAGGATTAGTTCACGATCTTTGAACTTTTACTAATTAGCTTGTTTTGAAGAAAAGACTCASAAAAATCGATTCTTTAATAAGTCGTTTTTAAAAATCCGCCCAAAAAATTTCTCTTCAAAGCCTGTACATGCAATATTCACATCGTATACAAATTAAGAAACCAAAAAAAGTATAGAACGTTTACTAGTCAATCAAAAAACATTAAAAACAATAGATAGATTAACTTTACCATTYGTTCTTCATTGTTAAATCCAAAGTTTTATTTCCTTAAGCACACGTTCCTTTTTCTACTTATATTTATATGTACAATTCCTAAAACGAACGATTTTGAAAAAAGCGTTTGATAGTTTTTCCTGTTTCCTGAGTAAAAGTTTTCGTAAACTTTTCGATAAACTGTACTTTACATATACAGTGCGTGACAAAGAAAAGCCTGTACACTGAAATTCTAGACAGAGTTAGAAAGATGGATGACCTCATCATACAGATTTACGAATTACTYATAAACCAGTTCCCAAATTCATATTTACAACCTTTTTAAGAGTACTTTATAGCTTATATCCGCAGTAATAGCAAAAGATAAATAAGCTTAACTGAGATTCAGCGAGGGTATAAACTGAATTCAAAAATTATAAGAAATAAACTTTAGTTGAGTAAATTGAGTTCTAATTTTGCTTTTATAAAAATAATTAGTTTTTTTTTAGCTAAATATTACATATTATTCACGCATAAAACTGCCCAAAAGAATCGTCTTCATTGGTTTGTAATAAAGCCATATACCTTTTTCTTCGATTCATTTTATAAACCCGTATTCTATCTTGTTCTTCCTGAACATCTTCGAGGTGGCCCTCCCACCGAAGGCTTTCATTAAGAATCGTCTTTGTATTCATAGATTTTGTGAACGAATCTTTGTCTTCGTCCTTTCTTGTACAGTCTATATCTGAAGATGCAGTAGGGAAAGACAGCTCAAGGTTTTCGCCACTGCTACTCGTACTTCGTCCGTCTGTACTACTTACAAGACAACTGCTTGCATTACCATTCTCTCGACTTGAAGAGCTAGGGTAAGAGTCACTCGAAACACACGTCCTTCCAAACGCAATAACTTTAGCTTTTAATTTTTTATTGTGTTCTAAAAAAGAACAAATAAAGATTCGTACTTTTAATAAGTAATTCTAGATAAGTACAATTGAATCGATAATAATTAGAGCATAGGTTGTAAATGAGAATCATAACTACAGTAAACAAAGTAATACCTTCGGTAGTGGAATCTGATCCAGTTTGGGAATCTTTTCTAGTCGTTGTTTTGGCCGAGTCCTTTTTCTTCTTCTTCTTTRCCTTCGTAGTTTTTTCACCGTGATGTGTAGGAACGTTTTTCTTTGCCTGTGTAGGCATTTTAAGGATGGTAGTTCATCTTTACTCGACATCTATCGGGGTACCATGGCGATGAGAGATCTTAATTAGATCACAATAGACGCGTTACTCGAATCAACTGATTTGCATCACAATCRGACAGTGCGCGTGCGAAACACAGGAAGCCCAAATCCATGCTCTGTTGCGATATGCGCGTAAGCTCATGATCAGTTGTCGAAACCAAGATCTTTCCTTATTGCTGTATCATTACAGTGAAACCCATTAATACTGACACCAAAGGCACCAAAGAAAACGTCCGTATTAGCGGATTAATATATGCTTATTTCAATAAAGTTAGTCAACAAAAACCCAAAAAGCTGAGATCACTGAGCATCATGGGAAACAATTCATTACAAACAAGTAAAGCTTTTTTGATACAAACTGCAGCTTGAGGATGCTCAGGAGAGGTGAGACTATAATTGGTAAAAGATGAGCAAGTCCATCAACAGTTATCAAGCGGTTGAAACATGTAAAATGTATCTACCATAATCCTTGTCGGCCTTAGTTTAATAGCTTTTCAGTTAGTATAGAAAACACATTTAGACCTTTTTACTGATACCGCGTCCATCTTGAATTTTGGTAACAAAAGGGGTTAAACACGTAGAGAGTGGCGGGATTACATTTTCAAATAATTTGAAAGTCTTGTTGTTTGGCATATTGTTCCAACTACCAGCAAGTACCATCCCCTCGGCATCCCATAATTTCAAATGGTGAATTGCCGGTTTTAAGAACGAATTCACACTGGGCCTAAGAAAGTCTAAAAAGGTTTTTCAGAGGTTACTGGAGACTTTCAGGGTACGTTACGTATAAAWCTTTCGCTACGCAACACGTTCAACAAAGCCCCATAAAACTATATAACGTCGAAGGTCAGATGATAAAGATTACGAAAAATATAACATTTGAAAGCGATTTTCTAATTTGAAACAATGCCGGAGCCTTAGACACGAATCGGGTACGTTCCATAGATGTGAATTAATGGACATTATAGCCAAAAGAATTTCACTAAAACTACAAAATATAAACTACAAAACTAGTGTGTGTGCGATTTTTGATTTTTGATTTGCTTCTTTAAAAAGTTATTGAGTTTTAAAGTTGAAACGTCGAAAAAATTCAATRTCGCTTAAACGTTTTTCCGCACTTTAATTTTAAAAAGACGAACTACACGAAGGTCTCCAGTAACATTAAAACAATAACCATCATAATGAGACTAAAAATGTCAAAACGAGATTTTCTTCGACAGAAACATAGCTTGGGCYGCCTGTGCTTAACCGGACTCGCCTCAGTCTGCCATTCGAGTCTGTTTCTTGGAAACACCGAGACCATCAGATTTAGCCTTTGATCGAACGAAGTCATCGTCCACAACGTACCGGTCAAGGTAAGAGAGAGAAAGAACATTTATTTGGCCTTGTCTTTCACCGTTTCTTTCAGGTTGGAAAAAATTTACATATATTTAGTGTTTTCTGTTTTTTGAATGCAAGCGACACAGGACAGAAATCGCCGCGTGAGGAGGTTTATTTTTTGTTGTAGATATCGGACTAATTACATGAGGACGAAGTATGAAATTCACTTTTGTTTTTCTTTTTAATGCTTTTTATCTGCGTTTATATTTGGGTAAAAGCCCGGAGGAACTTTCCCGTAATCATTAACACCAAAGTAAACATTTTCATCATCGATAGGTATACGTCACCTAACAGTGACAAAATTCTTTTCAAGGTAATTGATAACGATAGTGATCGTGATTTTTACGTACAAATTTATAGAATAAAATAATAAATAAAATAAATAAGAAATAAAAAAACACGCAAAAATACCTCGGTGCCTGAAGCAGGGAATTTTCTTTTCAAYCTATGGGAATTTTCCCTATCCCTTATCCCGGCATGCAGTGGTGCGTTCCACAGGAAGCCCACTATAGTGAATCGTATGGAAAACGACTTTACATACTTTTAGATTTTTTCTTTTTTTCTTTTATGAGTATTTTTTGAGTTTAGACTGTTTCTTGTTCACTCCTGATCATACTAACACACTRAAAAAGTAAACTGATGTATGACTATGAAGAGGAAAATGTGAAAATTTGTGTATTGTTTAAATACTCAATCATAATTGGCTAATTTCTTTGAAAATTGCCCTATTTCATATTGACGTCACATCAAAACAGTCTATTGTTTTAACGCTAAGGATCATGGTCGCCAGAGGGGGACAGAATGACAACAACACAAAGAAAAAACACAATAAATTGCATTTACAAAGCAGAGAAGGGAGGAATACTGGACAATTTGAAGCCAAACTTTTGGAGAGAAAGAAGATTTTGTCAAAATTCCCATTGTTCTCGGTGATTCAATTTCAATTTATTTGTTTGGGTGGCCTTGGTTGATTTAGTCGTACTGTAAATCATTGAGAACATTTGTCATTTATTTGACTGAGTCTAATTTATGAGAAACTGCATACTGAGCAAGCCTAGAAGGATAGGAAAACACTGTATAGACCCCTTGCATGTGACGTCAAAGCAGCTCCATCTGGGGGACAAAACAAAAGAATTCCAATCTCCTGAGAATTGGAACCTATTATTTTGTCCCAAGATTGAGCAGCATTGCAAAGTGCTGCAAGGGTTTCTATTGTTTGTTTGGTTTTTCCTCTTCACTTGCATGGAGGCCACTATCTCTGTCATAGAGGGTCCTGAAGGGGTAAATAGTTTATTGAGCTGGGATTTACCTTTTTGGGGGGCTGGGAAAATGGGATTTTATCCAATGGGAATGGGATTCACAAACAAAAAATAATAATCAAAAATGGGAATGGGATTGAAATTGAGATTTGAGCAAAACATAGGCTTGGTCTATGTCATTTGGTCAAAATGGGGGGGGGACTGGGAAATTTATTTCCACCTTTCAAGTTCCCAGTGAACTCTCTTGATTAAACTGTAGAACTTAACCTTATATGTTTGCATTATAGGTTGATAATATTATTGTTGGTTTTCTCCACTGGTTGAAGCTCAGTCAATAAAGATGAACGGTCTTCCAAATTTTGAGGAATTTCTTTCAGATTTACTAGGATGCTTTATCAAAGATCCAGTGAAAGTTGCCTTCATAAAGGAGAGGTTGAGTCCCATACTTAGCAGCCTGAAGATACAAGAAATACAAGGCGTGGATAGATGTGTTTCCGAGTATCTGATCCCAGAGTTGTCAAGACTTATCCAGTCCACTTTCGGTGTTTCAGCAGAAAAACAGCTGATATCGCTGAAGCCCTCTATTATCAGAGGATTGGAAACCTTCTTACAGAAAGGCAGAGTATTAAACAAAGATGAAATCATTCAACTGGCAAAGAAAAACATCCCAGAACTGATAATCGAAACAGCCWTTCCTAATACAAGTGAATACATAAAAAAACTTGTACGTAATGCTATGAATTCAGTCCAAGAAGCCGTCTTTACCCCTGGGACAACTCCTTCTGTTGAGAAACTGTTGCATATGCTTCGTAAAGAATGCGCTGATAAGGAATTTTGTATTGACAGGGCTGAACTTAGTCATGCCATAGATAAATTGATTGAATTGATGCCTGAAGCTGTTGACAAGATTATGGAATTCCAGGTAAAACATGTTTTGCCAGCTTTGTCAGTTTGTTTTGAAGCTACTGCATTTGCTCTTCTTACGGTATTCTTGAAGCAATGTTTTGAAAGTCTTCATAAAGAAGGAACAGTTAGAGTTAGAGGAAAAGATCTTGCCAAGCCACTGGCTATGAAAGCACTTGGCTTAGCAAATGAGAAGTTAATGAAGAATACAGCCAAAGATGTTTCAAAAGTAGCCCCAAAGATTGTGAAAAAATATGTAGTCGATAAGGCTGGAAGGAAAATGGTGAGAAAGGCAACGAAAAAGATTGCTTCAAAGGCGTCAAAAAATGTTGTTTCTAAGGCCACCCAAAATGCCAGCTCAAAAGCGGCAATGGCAACATCAAAACAAAGTGTTAAAGTGGGCACCAAGGCTATCAACAGAATGAGTGGAAAAGCCGCCCGCCAAGGTGTACAGGGAGCGGCTGGTAAAACAGCAAAGGAAGCCTCCGTCAATATAACCAAGACAAGTTCTAAAGCAGTAGCTGAAGTCGGGTTTAAAAACGCAGCAAAAGCCGGTATGACTGCAGCTGGTTTGTCAGCCGTCGTAGGAGGTTTGYTCCTCTATCATGACTTAAAGGACTTGGATAAGGAAAAGGAAGAGGGAAGCCTTAGTGCTGAGGAATATAAAGAACAAAAGAAAGAACGACTAGGTGAATTTGTAGGTGATGTGATAGGCACTGGTTTTGTGGGTGCTGCTATTAGTGTTGCTGCACTGTCAGGTCCTGCAGGTTGGGCGGCGATTGGAGCTGGAGCCATCGTTTCCTTTGCAACGGGGAAGTTGGGTGGTCAAATAGCTAAAGCAGTTGCTTGAATCTACAAATGTAATCTTACCACTATCCAAACGTTAGAACATTATTTTATATAGTTAATTTTTGAGACTCAGCTTTTTGAGTACAACGACTGTTGTGCGTAAGGTCGTGGATTCAAACCCCGGCAGAACCAACACTCTAGAGTAGAATGTGCTGCTCTAGTAGCTAGTCTTTCTAGTTTTCTTGAAAAACAACCTTAAACCATAGACCCTGTGTCCTAGGAAGCACTTACTTGACATGTATCACTGATATAGGGGACATTAAAATACTCTAGTTTCGAGTTCTCTGTTGCTCAAGGTTATCCTTGATTTTGAGTAAAATCTTCATGTGTTCAGCATGTGTTCTAGTGAAGGTCCTTGGAATTTCAGAGTTTGTATTGCATGTTAAAGTTGTGAATTCTTTACTTTACCGTTGGTATTTGCGAATATTTAGACACTGATACGAGGCTAACCCTGAGTAAATAAGTCTGTAATCAAGGAACACAGCGGTAGTTTGGAACATTATAATATTATTATCACAAGGAAGCTAAGTAAAAATGTTCGCTTCGATAAGCATAGAACTCTTTTGTTGCGAACTTTATGAGCTTGATCTCCTAAGGCTACGTTTAGCTAAACATTTGAGGATTATAATTGAATAAATAAAGGCATTAATCTAACTATTGAACTCCGTCCGACAGATTTTGGGACATATGCCATAGTTGTTATATACGTACAAAGGCAAAAGCTAGAGTGATTTAGCTTGACCAGTGAAAAGTAGTAAGCATAATAAAGAGAGCATGAATAAGAGAAGTAAACTTCTTAGTAACGCGCGCGCCATCTAAATTCTCGGTTGGGCTATTTTGGGTAATCGGAGGCAGTTTAAATTTCGCCTTACCCCTACTCCCGTGCGTCATCAATTTGCGCGCGCGTTCTTTAACAAATTGACATCAGATTTTTATGGCGAAATTTATCGTCAATAAGAGGACAGACACATAAGAATCTGATGTCAATTTGTTTTTTACAATAACAAAAACGATAAAACTTCTCATTTTTAGCGATCAAAACAATCAACGGAAAGAGCTCGCGCTGGTTGACGTCAGCTTTGTCTGTCCTCTTATCGATGATAAAAAATAACCAATCAGCGCGCGAGAAATTTGTAAGTTATTGCAAAATTCTGTTTCGTTTTTTAGCGATCAAAACAGAAAAAGCGCTGCGTTGCGCAAGYGTTGATGACACACGGGAGTAGGGTAAGGCGAAGTTTAAACTGCATCCGGTTACTAAAAATACCCCAACCGGGAATTTATATGGCGCGCGCGTTATTAAGAAGTTTCCCTCTCTTATTTATGCTCTCTTGGCATAATGAATAGTAGTAGACGCTAATCCTATTGATTTCTTTTTTTACTTTGTCGCTAATTATATATGTTTCTATAACTGTTCATGTAAGGTTGCTCTAACATAGCTATAACTAATATACGAGTTTCGTATCGTTTTGCATCATAATTACCGCGACCTAACATCTATTTCACCCCGGCCTGCTCTCAGTCTGACCTCTAGCTCAGCTGGTAGAGCATCGGTAGTACAATTCCGAAGGNTCGTGGGTTCGATTCCCAGCGAGGTCGGAAATTAATTTTTCCGAATTTAATTCCAAGGGCTTTCACCTAGAATAACCTCGTTCCCAAGCATTATAACTTATCTATATTTCTATATCTCAATATACGAGTTTCGAGTTCTCTATTGCTTAAGGTTAGGCTCGATTTAGAGTAGAATATTCGTGCGTTCCATTGAAGGTGGGTGGAATTTCAAAGTGTTTGTGTTGTTCAAGTTGTGAATTMTTTACTTTACCGTTGGTATTTRTGAATATTTAGACACTGATTCGAGGTTAAGCCTGAGTAAAAATGMGTTTGTGATCAAGGAACACAGGGGTATATTCCACAGCATTCATCACATAGCGCTCTCACATTCATCAGGATTTACATCCCCGTCATTCGCTTCCACGACCCTCGGTTTCCCACAGAAAGGAATGCTGTAGTCTTCTGGAGCTTCTTCCGCCTCTTCGATAGTTTGCTGCATACCAGAATTTAGTGTTTCGGGTAACCATAGTGATGCTATCCCAGCAGTCACTGTGCAAATGCCAAATATCGCTATAGGGAGCGTCAGATTTATGCCTGGAAGCTGCGCCTGTTATAAAAAAAGAAATAGACCTTTAAAAAAACTTTAAGATCGATAGTAAATCTAAATAAATAAATAAATAAAAATCTTGAACCAGAATATTTTTACATCAAACATCTTTTGCCTAAATTCGCTAGACTCTTGTATTTCAACAGCTTGGTCCTACCGCTTTTTGATTATGGTGATATTGTTTGGGAGGATAAAGATAGTATCACGCTTATGGAATCTCTTCAAACCCTGCACAACAAAGCGGTCAAGATCATCCTGGATCGTCCTCCATACTCCTCAGCATCTGATGCTCGGAAAGAACTTAATTGGATGGAACTCAGTAAGCGCAGATACTACCATCGATGTTTATATATATTCAAATGTAAAAACAGATTATTATCATCAAATCTAAAGCTGAATAAGCTCAATGAGCATGGCTACAACACGAGGCATGGAAGCGAGTTTCGCTTACCACGACCCAAAACTAACTGGGGAAAACGAACAATGCAGTTTCAAGCCATGAAAGAATGGAACAAYCTGAGTGACACTCTTAAACAATGTTCTAATATCAACCATTTTAAATCGAATTTCTTTTAAACCTGTAAACCTAAATAATTTGAACTTTTCATCTTTTACAATTTCACATACTAGTAATAATGATGTTGACTTTTCAGTAACGAGCTGGTTTCGATATTCAACCTCCAAATTCTCTTTTTGCATATTATTGTCAAAATATCTTATTTATCAGGACCTTCTTGAAAATCACATTTATAAGTGAAGAAGCTTCCTGTTAAAATATGAATGTAAATAAAATAAATAAATAAAACATGCTTTTAAGAAAGATGGGTAGACGGGTAGTTTGGAACATACCATCATGACTATGTAGGGTGCTATAATCCCACCAATGCGTGCACACATTGATAGGGTTCCCATGGCAGTGTTTCTGATACAAAAACATAAAAAAATGAAAATAAATAAATAAACTTTATTTAAGTGTCAATGTATTTAAATTATGCAACTAATTAGGGACAATGAAATGAAAAAATAATCAAAGAAACATAAAGTGTATGTTAAGAATCCCAACTGGCAAGGAGGTAACCAGTTGGCTATTTACAAGCATGGTCGAGAAACTGAATTTGAATTGTTCAGAAATCAGGACAAATACAGTCTCAGCTAGTGGCCACAGCGAAATGAAAGAATTAGTATATGTAATAGGACTCCATGATTAGTATATGTAATTGACTTCCAAAATTGGATGAGGCCATAGGCGGAGTCCAATTTGGTAGTCAGAGGAATTTTTCGAGCAATATGCCTGATAACGGTTGGGTACAGTTCACTGTTCTAAAGGTATATGTTAGAGTATGCTACAGTAAATATAGACCTATATACCTGATGACGGTTGGGTACAGTTCAATAGTGTACAGGTATATGGTACAGTAGACTACAGTAAGTATAGACCTATATACCTGATGACGGTGGAATACAGTTCACTGTTCTACAGGTATATGTTAGAGTAGACTACAGTAAGTATAGACTAAAATACCTGATGRCGGTTGGGTACAGTTCACTGGTGTACAGGTATATGTTAGAGAAGGCGGCTGTATCGCAAAACTTTCCAATCATAGCAATAGTTGTTACCAATGCAGTATATTCTAAAATATATCAAAAATTTAAAATTAAGTTAATATAGAATTTTTACTTCTCTGCCAGTGGTTTAGGAGTGTGCGTTGAAGGGGGGAGCGGGGGGGCCTTCGACCTTTCCCTAAAATACAATTTCATTTTATTTATCAATTTAACTAAAAACAAAATGAGCATGCAGCTAGCGCAAACCAAAATGGCGCCCAAAATGGAGTCTGTGAAATAGTTTACTTTCTCAACTAAATGTAAAAGCAATTCGTGTTTCACCCCTCTCTTAGGGTATGCAATTAAAGTAATGATAGGAATACCTTTGGGCACAGCTAACACCAATATACATGCCACGCCACCAATCATCATGATAGAAAAGTAAGAAATCCGACGACCAAACCTGCAAATGCCAAAAGATTCTTTTTTAACGTCGAATGGAAGATCTAACCTTGATATTTGCTACAAATTCTTGCAGGAAGTGTAATTAGGGTCGTTACCATTAGGGTACACTGTCCTCTTAAGGGGATTCCAATTCGCGTTCCCTCTCTCATCCACCCATCCATGCATCCTTCCTTCATTCCTTACTCCTTATCTCGCTCGCTTCCTCCATGCCTCATCCATGTATTGTTCCTTCTTTCTATCATCGTCCCCCATCCTTCCTTCTTTTCTTCTTTTCTTCTTCTCTCCACCTTTCCCATGCATGCATGCATCCTTCCTTCTATCCTCCATCCTTTCTTTCTTTTCTTTATTCTACTATCCTCATCTATAGAGCGTTTTCACGTGATGTCACAGCGGCCATTATGGGGTACCAAAACAATACATTTTCTATCCTCCATGAATTGAACTCTATTTTTATGCAAATACTGTGCAGAGAGTTTCCATTGTTTATGGCTGCCTTTTCACGTGAGTGAAAACGCTCTATCTATCCATTCTTCCTCTTTCTCTTCCATAAGAAGAAAGATCTTTTTTTCAACTTACTTCTGCAGAACAAACCAGACGATAGGAGTGTGCACGAGATCAATGACTGACATGAGGAAAAAGTTCATGTAGACATCCCCTGACAAACTAGTGACGTAAAGAACGAACCCGAAATAGACGATACTGACAACAAACCTGGAATAAATGAAAGTTAGGAGGTACGGCTGCGTTCATAATGTTTGTCAGGGGGGGGGGGGGGGCAGGTGAAATTGAGGGGATCGGGAAAATTTTGGCAGAATCGTTTTTTTGTTTTTTTTTGTTTTTTTGTTTTTGTTTTTAGTTTTTTGTTTTTGTTTTGTTTTGCTTTGTTTTGTTTTTGTTTGGTTGGTTTTTTTGCATGACTTTAACGGGGGTGTTAAGAATTATTCTGGACATTTCAAATTTTCACCTGTCCCCCCCCTCTGCCATACATTATGAACACAGCCTAAATAAAAGTAAAACGAAACAAATGGATCGAGAAAAAGAGAAGAAGAAGACGAAGGGAAAAAAGAAAGAGGAAGACCACTGAAGAAGGAAGAGGAGGAGAAGGAGAGAACGAAAGAAAGAAATATCTTATCAAGAGATACACACGCACTTTTAATACCTCCTCCCTCTTGTCACTTACCCACCCCACCCCCACTAAAATTCCTTCAGTTCTCACCAGTTGTAGCACAAARTGATCGTTCTTTTCTCCTCTCCTCCTCCCTCTTGTCACCTCCCCACCCCTCCCCCACTAAAATTCCTTCAGTTCTCACCAGTTGTAGCACAAAATGATTGTTCTTTTCCGTAGTTTGGGTGTCTTGATCATATCCAGAGGCGACACTTTCTTTACATCGATCTTTGCCCTTTCTCGTTCGTCTTCCTTCAGATCTTCCAAAACCTTACGAACCTCACCAGGATTTACGCGCTCCTTGTCAGCGCACTTCATCAAAACAGCATGCGCGTCATCGAGTTTGTCGTGCGCAAAAAGCCAGCGAGCTGTTTCCGGTATAAATCTGAAGTTGAGAAAATGATAAATCAGAGGTCAATAAATTATTGTGCATACAATGGACCTTAATAAAATAAAAGAACGCATTTGTACACAATCGCTGCTAAGAATGAGCAAATGCGAACTCGATATGGGAGTATAAACTTTTGAGTATAATAATTGTCTAGCTTAGAATAATCCAATAGTAATTATGTCAATCTTATTTCTTA